CAGCGACACTAGCCAACGATGATGAGCAAGGTCACCAATGCATGTCTGAAGATAATATTACATCGACCAGAAACAATTTGCATCCACAGGTCAGTACAACGATGTGTGTCTGCTCTAGATTTGCACAATACACACTAGAGGGAGCCGCTCGTAAATCAGTTTCCTGTTTTTATACTCTGATGCTATTCACATCCCTTTGCCTCTTACTCCACTACAATTAGTCATTGAAATGTGTTGTGTATTTGGACATTGTCATTTATTCCGTTTTGCTGCGTAGGAATATTTTTCGGCGGCGTGAGCGTTGGTGCCTTCCGTCAGGCGTTGTGTTTTTGTTGTTTTTATTGCATTTATTGGTATAGTTGTGTATATTTTTAGGTCATTTGTAACCATGTTACCAATAGATGTGATGACTTTATGCCAGTCCATGATTTCTATGATACACCTTAAAGGTGAACTATGAGGGGGGGGGGGGGGCTTTTCACTCACCTCATAGTTCTAGCCGACCTGTGACAATGAGACTGTCACAGGGCGGCTCAGTGGATCAGGGGGGGGGCAAATCCGCTCCGGCTGCGGCGTCTCAGTATACCGCGAGGTGTAGCTCCCTATATACTGAGCCTAGGGTGACGGGAGGACGCTAGTTTGTGTCCTCCCGTTACCCTAAGGAGAACTATGGGGAAAAACACTGACCCTATAGTTCTCCTTTAAGGCTGGGTTCCCACCTAGGCGTATCGAATATGCGCGTTTCCTGCAGCACGTTTTTACCGCGCGTTTCCGAGGGCTACCCGGCTGTATCCCAATGGATACGCACAACAAAAACGCCTGTACTTCTTTGGGTGTAGGGTGTTTTGTAGCGCGTTCATACGGCCTGTAATACGCCCAGGTGTGAACCATGCCCATAGGAAATAATGGGATTTCGGTGTTTGAGCGTTTTGCAGAGCGTGCGAACGCGCTACAAAACGCCCAGGTGTGAACCGGTCCTTGATGTGCTAATTTCTTTGGTACAGGCATCCCTCGAGTTACAAACAGAGGCTATTACTGTACAGCAGGGGGGGTCCCAGGCTGCAGCCAAAGGGTACTGCTCAGCATTCCAGTAGTTGTAATGCTACCGCGCTCGTTCCGACGAGGAGTGCCCGCCTTTTTGGGTCTGGTTCGTAGTACTGTACGTACATCACAGGAAGTTGGCTCTTGTTAGACTTGCAGGCGAGGGGTGCCCGCCTCTTCTTCCGGGGTCACTGGGAGGTTTTTACTGCTGTCTGTATCCTCATTAGAAAGATTTAATTGTCACAGGGACAGAAAGTGAGGTGAAATCTTCTGAACGGGCACAGACAGCAAAACAAACTTTACAGGGGGTAAACCCTTCCCTATGCTATCCAGAACTAGAAAACAAAATTGGGGGGGCTGACATTACACTTAAAAAATGTACCTGTTCCAACTTACATAGAAATGTAACTTAACCACTTGAAGACCGCGGTGTTACACCCCCTTCCAGGCCATTTTTCAGTGTTCAGCGCTGCGGTACTTTGACTGACATTTATTCCGTCACGCAGCGCTGTACTGAAATGAATTTTATACCATTTTTTGGGGACACATAGAGCTTTCTTTTGGTGGTATTTATTCACCACTGCGGGTTTTTATTTTTTACTATATAACAAAAAAAGTACCCTAAATTTTGTAAAAACAAACATGTTTCCCTATAAAATGTTATGAAACATTTATTTTCACCCCAATTTTTTGGTATAATATAAAAGACGGGGTCACGTCGGGTAAATAGACACTAAATATGTCAACCTTTAAAATTGCGCGCGCCCGCGAAATCGACCGCAACCAAAATTAGCCATAGGCGACACGTTTTTACCGCTCATCAGTTTAGTGTTATCAGTGATTGATGGCCCTAAAATTATCCGACGTTCGCGGCGATACGTAACATGTGCTGCATAATAGGCGCAATCGTCGTTTTCGTACATAGGCGCACCCGAGGCATGTTTGCATGTGTATGGGGGGGGGGGGGGGTTGGATGACATTAACCTCTTGAATGGCAGCGGCGACGAGGAGACGGCGGGACAGAGGTACGGGGGTGGGGAGGCCGCACACCCGCAGCTCCTGCAAGCGGTTGGGCATCTCTAGAGACGCCTGATCACTTGTATGTAAACAGCCATCACTGGCTGTTTACATGCTCACAGTTTTCCCTCTCGTGTGCGTGCTGAGTGCCGCACACGAGAGGGGGGAGGGGCAGGACGTCTTAAGACGCCCTCCCGCTCCTAGCAGACGTCCGTCCGGCCGTTCACAAACTGTGAGTGATTTTGTGAACCAGTGTGCTGCGCTTGGTATTGCGATACGTGCTAGAGACTATCTCAAAAAAGTGATTTTCACTCCTCCTCAAAGTTCGAGCCGACCTGTGACAATGAAACTGTCACAGGTCGGCTCAATACATCGGGAAGTGAGAGAACACATACCGCCGCTCGCTCACTTCTCGATCTATCCCTGCAGAGAGTGGTGAGTGTCGCTCACGGCTCCCTGCAGGGATTTCCCCTCCCCTGTCCGATCCTTTGACGGGGGAGGGGGCGGGCACAGCTGGCTCTTCCTCTAGATAGGCAGAGCCAGCTGTCAGTCACGCAGCTGGGTGGATGTCGACAGCAATGTCGGGGTCCGTCCCGGCTGCGGCGTCTCAGTATACCGCAAGCTACAGCTCCCTATATACTGAGCTTAGGGTGACGGGAGGACGCTAGTTTGTGTCATCCCGTTACCCTTAGGAGAACTATGGGGAAAAACACTGACCCCATAGTTCTCCTTTTAAGAACAAACCTACAGTCCCTAACTTGTTCGTAACCCGGGTACTGCCCGTACTACCAAAAAAAATAGTAAATGCATCAATATGACCTCGTGAGAAATGCGCATTTCCTATGTAATGAAGCCTGCAGAGCATTGCACCTACTGAGTCGCGGGTGCCTGATGGTGATTCGTATAAAATTTGTATTGTTTAGAGACATTAAATGCAGCCAACACGTTACAGGGCGAAGGTCTCTCCCTTCTATAGGGATATAATAACATCTCTGCTCTTCTCTCCTCAGGAGTTACTCCTCATTGATGCAGGCAGGAAACATGTCATCCAATCAGGTTAGTAAGCTCAGGAATTCCTCTTCAATCTCTTTGCTGATTGGAGAATATGAAAGTGCAGTAGAACAATGTGATCTACGGATCCGTAACAGGACTGGAGGGGTCTGGTTGTGATTGCTGTTTATGTGACAAGCGAGCCATCAGCACGCAGAGGGCGGGGCTCAGCTCCAGATAATTACACAAGGAACCTTTTTTACATCTTTTATCATTTAATTGGAAAGTGTCAATAATACCGCCAGTGTTGCTCTGTACTTGGATATGTATTGCTGAACTCCGGTCTGGCCTTAAAATGTACATTTGGTCCATCTACTACATGGTGTCGTAGAGGGCATAGACAAGACCAGTCACCCTGCAGCAGTGAGCTGCAGGAGAGAGCAGCAGTGAGCGGTCTTTATTACAGGAAGGGGCGGAGACAAGACCAGTCACTCTGCACAGGAAGAGAGGGCAGCAGTAACCAGTCTTTATTACAGGAGGAGGCGGAGACAAGACCAGTCCCCATGCACAAGGAGAGAGCAGCAGTGAGCGCTCTTTATTACAGGAGGGGGCAGAGACAAGACCAGTCACCCTGCAGCAGTGAGCTGCAGGAGAGAGCAGCAGGGAGCGGTCTTTATTACAGGAGGAGGCGGAGACAAGACCAGTCCCCATGCACAAGGAGAGAGCAGCAGTGAGCGCTCTTTATTACAGGAGGGGGCAGAGACAAGACCAGTCACCCTGCAGCAGTGAGCTGCAGGAGAGAGCAGCAGGGAGCGGTCTTTATTACAGGAGGAGGCGGAGACAAGACCAGTCCCCATGCACAAGGAGAGAGCAGCAGTGAGCGCTCTTTATTACAGGAGGGGGCAGAGACAAGACCAGTCACCCTGCAGCAGTGAGCTGCAGGAGAGAGCAGCAGGGAGCGGTCTTTATTACAGGAGGAGGCGGAGACAAGACCAGTCACCCTGCACAAGGAGGGAGAGCAGCAGTGACCAGTTTTTATTACAGGAGGGGGCAGGGACAAGACCACTCACCCTGCACAAGGAGAGAGAGCAGCAGTGAGCGGTCTTTATTACAGGATGGGGCGGAGACAAGACCAGTCACCATGCACAAGGAGAGAGCAGCAGTGAGCGGTCTTTATTACAGGAGGGGGAGGAGACAAGACCAGTCACCCCGCACAAGCAGAGAGAGCAGCAGTGAGCGGTCTTTATTACAGGAGGGGGCGGAGACCAGACCTGTCACCCTGTACAAGGAGCGAAAGCAGCCGTGACCGGTCTTTATTAAAGAAGGGGGGAGGAGACGAGACCAATCACCCTGCACACGGAGGGAGAGCAGGAGTGAGCGGTCTTTATTACAGGAAGTCTCACACGGGATCACTGCACAGATCAGGAAGAATACACGCGGCTCTGGTATGAGGAGGATAATTCTGCATTTTGTCTTTATTCGTTATCTCTGATTTCTGTATTTTACCTCCCGGCAGGACGGCAATGACTCCGACGAGTTCATGTAACGTGGTCATGTGACCACGGGGACCCTTTTCCTCAATGCTACCATGACGGGAGCCTCTCCGTGTCAAACTCCATCCAGCGTTTACTTCCGGCCTGGCTGGTCAGCGGATTCCGGGAACATCCTCGCACCCCGAAATGTTTTTTTTTTACCGTTACATGGAGGAGATTGAGGATTCGGAGGATGACTCCCCTGAGCTGAGGACATCGCTCGAATCACAAACCCATCTACGCGCTGAGGAATGACCGCTATGTCGGATGGAAGCTCCGCCCCCTCGTCATCACTCCCACACGTCGCTGGGCTGCTACTTTTAAACTTTTATTTGTTCTTTCTCTCGGAAGACATAAGGAAATCTTTTTCTAGCCGTCGTCTGAACGCAGAATTTCTTTTGTTTGGTGTGAGCACTCGGGGACGTCCCTGGAACTTGCTGGCAATGACTCGCCTCGATCTTGCTCCGCGCCATGTTTGGGTGCAATGCGTAAGCAAGACGGGAATTAAAGTATTAGCCGAATATCTTGCGGTGTTATTTTATCACATTTAAAGCCGAAACCTCTTCTAAAGTTTAATCTGCTTTTTATTTTACCCTCCCTGGTACTCCTCAAGAGCCCTGATGCAAGCAGTGGCCTGGCTCTTGGGAGGAGTTATGCAAATATCAAATGGGTGGGTGTCAGTCTGCAGGAGTAGGCATTTTAAGGCAGGCAGTATTTGCGTGCAGACTACCCACATGGGATGATTGAAGGAACTAAATCCAATGAATGAAAGGGGCAGGGCCAGAGACAGTCAGGGTGAGGAGGAAAATGCTAAATGATGGGGAAGACGGAGGTTGGATAGAAGACCGAAGGAAAGGACGGAGGTCAGATAGAAGAATGAAGGGGAGGATGGAGGTCAGATAGAAGACTGAAGGGGAGGATGGAGGTCACATATGTGACTGAAGGAAAGGACGGAGGTCAGATAGAAGACTGAAGGGGAGGACAGAGGTCACATATGAGACTGAAGGGGAGGACGGAGGTCAGATAGAAGACTGAAGGGAAGGACGGAGGTCAGATAGAAGACTGAAGGGGAGGACGGAGGTCACATAGAAGACTGAAGGGAAGGACGGAGGTCAGATAGAAGACTGAAGGGGAGGACGGAGGTCACATATGAGACTGAAGGGGAGGACGGAGGTCAGATAGAAGACTGAAGGGGAGGACGGAGGTCAGATAGAAGACTGAAGGGAAGGACGGAGGTCAGATAGAAGACTGAAGGGGAGGACGGAGGTCAGATAGAAGACTGAAGGGGAGGACGGAGGTCAGATAGAAGACTGAAGGGAAGGACGGAGGTCAGATAGAAGACTGAAGGGGAGGACGGAGGTCACATATGAGACTGAAGGGGAGGACGGAGGTCAGATAGAAGACTGAAGGGAAGGACGGAGGTCAGATAGAAGACTGAAGGGGAGGACGGAGGTCACATAGAAGACTGAAGGGAAGGACGGAGGTCAGATAGAAGACTGAAGGGGAGGACGGAGGTCACATATGAGACTGAAGGGGAGGACGGAGGTCAGATAGAAGACTGAAGGGGAGGACAGAGGTCAGATTGAAGACTGAAGGGGAGGACGGAGGTCAGATAGAAGACTGAATGGGGAGGACAGAGTTTAGCATTATCTGATAGTAATTAGCAAGGCCAGCTCTGTATATACTTGGGTGTAGTTCTCAGACTGTCCACTGGAGGTCCTTCCTTGCTTAGCTTCTGCAGTACAGACCTCCAGCAGATGGACATGTTACACATTGGCCTGATTAGTTTTTTCTGTGTTGTTTTCTTGGTGATTTAGAATAGAAAGTATACCGGGGTCACGTTTTATATAGGTAGTTCCTCCTTCCGCTCATCAGGTCACTGCAACTGGCCACATATGGTCCCCCCCTGCAGATCAGGAGCCTCCAGGGAAGGACCCTCCATCATACAAGGACATTGTAGACTATTGTGCTCTTCCAACTTTCTGGTAACAGTTTGGTGAGGACCCTTTTCAGTTCCACCATGACTGTCCCCTGTGTACAAAGACCCCTCCATAGTGTGGAGGAAGTCGAGTGTCCAACACAGAGCCCTGACGTCAATCCTACTGAACACCCTGGGGATGAAGTGGCACATCAATGATGAGCTGGGTCTTCTCATCCAAAATCAATACTTTACCTCACAAATTGCTACAGACACCCTCCAACATGTCTTCCCAGAAGAGTGGAGGCGGCTCCATAAAGACTTAGGGTGGAGGAACTCGACTGTCCCGCACAGAGCCCTGACCTCAACCCTACTGACCACCTTGGGGTTTAATTGGAATGCCAACTGCTGGCACATATTTTGCATGAAAGGAACCTCCATCACCCAGAGGAAGACAACAAAGTCCCAATCGGAATTGACAAAATTGAGGAGTCTGCTGTACTTCCTCCTTGTTTCTACTAAGGGATTTGTGGTTCCTTTCAGCCCACCTCACCCATAACCTGGTAAAACTTTTATATCACTCCACAGCCCGACTCCAAATCATAGTTTCCACACACTGCACTGATGGTGGCCAACAAGTCTGAGACAGCCGTATGCCACTTGGAATGAATAAAATGAGGCTGTATCTGCGCTGTACGATAGGCCTAGGGACGCAGAGAAAAGGTCTGCATGGCTCTATCCTACACGTGGTTTTTGGGGTTTGTGATGGAAGAGAGATATGCAGCAGACACTTCCTGTTTGTAAGATATTGTAGCCTATCACTACTTCCATGTAGCAGCTGCATTCGTTGTCACATTTTCGGCAAGTACAGAAAATACCAGGAAGGCCTCACCCTTGTCACTTCCTGTGAGCTGACAATAAAGCAAAAAAGATGTAAACTATTAGTCCCATCAAGCTGTCATGCAATGGAAATGGACAACGGCAGACATGTTTGAAGTCCAGTCTGTATGATAACCAGGGCTGCCCGTGGTGCTTTGTGTCTGTCTGGACAGCCCTGGTCATCCCGTACAATGGGGACCAACTAAGTGCCGCCGGGTGACACTGCTTGGCAGCAGGAAGGCACATTCCTCCATAAACAGAGTGTGTGCACCCGGAAATGTCTTCCCTCGGAATTATGGCAGCTCAGACAGCAGCAGTGAGGAGGAGGACAGGGATGGGGGGAAGAGCCCCCCCCCCCCCACATGCCGCCTCCCTGGGCCTGATGAGCTCTTCTAGATTGTCAGCCGCCTGGCCTTCCTCTCCATCCCTTATAGCTCCACCATTCACTGGGAGAAGAGGCGGAGGTGACACTGGAGGTGGGATGGGAGGGGGACATGAAGCAGGTACTGATCAGAGAGGAAGTAGGGGATGGGAAAGGGGGTACTGAGCAGAGAGGAGGTGGAGTTTCGAACCAGAGACCTACATCTAAAGGAAAAAGGTTGCTCCTTTGAAGACAGTCAAGTACGCATCCTAGACGGGGAGGAGAACTGAGGTGTGAAAGAGGCCATTTATGTAAAAATGGAGGTGCCGAGCTTGAATAGAGGTGGGGGGTGAGACATCTATTGTCTGCCACATACAATGCTGTTTTAACACCTCTCTCTGGGCAGGTTGATAACATAACACCTCCCAGACTCTAATTATGCAAATGCAATCAACGCCTGGTTGTGACTAACAGATTATGTGGATTGGAGCGACATTCACCATATTTATTCCCAGAGAATTTTTTGTACAAGTCCTTCTGAATGGAGAAAGCTGGTCGGACGACCAGTGAAACGTCTTCAAGAAAAATACAGCGAGTCCAGTTGCCCTGACATATTTTTTACAGATAAAAATCCCAATTGTTCTCCTTACGGAATTGTGCCGATTTGTAACTTATACTTTTCAGACTTCATTGACTCCTTTCATTTAATGAAGCGGGCTTCTGGCTTGTAAGCACATGACTCCCCGAACCCCGCTGTCCGCCCTGCCACTCCAAACATGAACTTGTGTTGTTGCCCTGGCATTGCAACAACCCGTAATGCATAGCTAGCAGCGGCTGGAGAGCAGATGATATTAATCATTGGTAAACATTTTCTTCTCGGTTCACGGTTCCAGCGATTGGCCGCGTTGCTGCTTTAATGCGAGCACTTCGGAGGTGATCTGGCAGGAAGAAGAGTGATGAGTACCAAGTGGAGAACGCGACACTCCCTGTGGTAGCTCCAGCGTAGGAGCTGAAACACGGGGCTCCGCACATGGGCCAGATCTCAGCCAGAGCCGTTCAGGAAAAATCATGTTCAACCAAAAAAAACTCATCGAGGTCGGTTATATATATTCCGAGGATCTCAACAAGCTTTCCTGTTTTGTAGTGGATGAGACCATTTCACTTTCTGAGTAGGTGGAGTTCTCCGTCTGTGCTGTAAATAAATAGATAGTCTCATCGCTGTGATGAGAGACATTTCATCCTCCATGTCAGACCCGCAGCACCCTTGTTTTTTCCTATTTGTATGGCATTGACATGTTAACAAATGCTTTACATTACACTTCACGTCAATGTCACCCGAAGGAGCTCATAATCTAATGTTCCTACCATGTAGAAGGACCAGCTAGGTTCCTGTACCTGGAATGAACTCACAATCTAATGTCCCCACCACATAGAAGGACCAGCTAGGTTCCTGTACCTGGAATGAACTCACAATCTAATGTCCCCACCACATAGAAGGTCCGGCTAGGTTCCTGTACCTGGAATTAACTCACAATCTAATGTCCCCACCACATAGAAGGTCCGGCTAGGTTCCTGTACTCCAAAGGGGCTCACAATGTAATGTCCCTACCACATAGAAGGTCCCACTTTATTGCTATACTCTGGATGAGCTTGCAATCTAATGTCCCTGCCACATACAAGGGCCATCTAAGTCCCTGTGCCACAAATGAGCTTATAGTTTATTGTCCCTACCACATAGAAGGGATGGCTAGGTTCCTATACCCCAAAGGAGCTCACAGTGTATTGTGTCTACCGTATAGAAGGACCGGCTTTGTTGCTATACCCTGTATGAGCTTGCAATCTAATGTCCTTACACATACAAGGGCCATCTAAGTCCCTGTGCCACAAATGAGCTTATAGTTTATTGTCCCTACCACATAGAAGGACCGGCTTTGTTGCTATACCCTGTATGAGCT